CTGAACATCGTTTATATCAATTTTAATTATGCTTACAATTATAATTTATTTTACAAATTAAAAAAGTAACATTTTTAATATAAAATTTTGGCATTTTACCCATTAACATTAAACTTTTTACATATTTTTGCAAAAAAACATATTTCTGAAATGAAAATTGATTTTTATCGAAATAACCTTTAGTTTTGTTATATTCTCATGAGAAATAACAATGTTTTTTTTACAAAGCCCAGTTTTGCATATGCCCAAGGTCTAAACTCTCGTACATTTTATTCATTTAGTATTAGAACTCAAGATATATTAATAGATCTTAACCCTTAGAGCTTAAATTTATATTATAAACGTTGTAAATAAACTGGGATGAATTATCCAGCAGTTATTGCATAAACTGGGATATTAATATTCCACACTTTAGTGTGTTTTATGCTGCGAGATTTAACTCCCAGTTTATGCAATAAACGCAGAATAAGATTAACACTATTCATACTGTAGAAAATTTACATTACGCAAAAATTATGAGAATAATATCCAAAACGTTAATTTAACCATGATACTCTAATTCGATAATAATATAACTTTACAAATTTATAAATCTAACTATTTATGTAAGAACTAAGTATAATATACTGTATATGAAGAAACTTGCGATAATTATTGCCAACAATTTTATTAATATAATTAAATGTTGCATTAATTCTCGCCCCCTTAAAAGCCCTTAAAAATCACTTTTGGCAAAGGCTAAAATAGAATTGAATATATTTTCATCATAAATATAATAATTATTGTTGTTGTTTATAATAAAAATTTTATTTCTATAGAATATCTTTAATATGCATTAAAGGTAAATTTATTTATAACAATAATTTTTCTTATATTCGCGTATAGGATTATAATTAATTAACATGCTGATTGTCATAAATTAACCAATAGTTATTCCACCGCCAATTGGACCAATTGCACCGCCAGCTGATCCGCCAACAGCACTTCCGATGGCACCGCCGATACCGCTCCCAATGGCGCCGCCTATTCCACTACCGACGGCACCGCCGAGTCCGCCGGCCAATCCGGTAGCGGCACCGACACCACCGCTCATGACATCGCCAACACCGCCGCCAATCTTACCGATGGCATCGGCTTTGCCCTTCAATGCGGTACCGCTCGAACCCAATACACCTACGAGTATTTTTAACATCAGGGTCATTTTGTGTTAAATCAACTAGTTTATTATTTGTTGTGCTAGATCTAACCTCCGATTAAATCGCCTTTGAGCTTGAAATCAGCAGCGGCTAAATCACCGGCAGCGCCGGCAACTGTGTTAACTGTTTGGCCCACGAGATTAGCGCTGTTTTGCGCAGCACTTCC